AAGAACTGCTTGGCCCATGAACTCTAGCCCTTACAGGCCAATTCTCGCACCTGGACTAGCCCATTTCTAATGGTGTGTGTAAGCACCCCAAGGTGCGTTTACCGGGAAGATTCTAGCCTAAGTCCATCGTGGGTTGCAGCTGCCTGGGAGAGCTGAGCATGGCGTCTCTGCTCCAGCAGAGCTGTTGAGTCTCCCCGGAAGCAGAGCAGAGTCTGACCTCACTTCCTCTTCCGCCCAGAATTCTATTCTGTTTACTCCTCCCATCTATGTTCCAAGCTGAGGCCAAGCAGTTGGTTTATTATAACTTAACCAATGAAATCAACAGATTGATATATGACACTCCCACATCATTTTCCTTTAACAAAAAGAGTCCCAAATGGAAAATGTTTAAGAAGCCTTGTCATAGAGGTCAAGGTCAGAGGTCAAGGTCAGCCTGGACCGCAAAGCTAGCTAGATTCTGGCTTAACTTGATTTTAGTCGCAAAGAAACAGATCTCAAAGTTGGCCAAGGTGGCTCTCTGAGTACCAGGCCAGCCTGGTCTGCACAGGGAGTTCCTGGACAGCCAGGGATATGTAGAGAGATGCTGTATCAAACAACAGCAAAATCAAAGAAGCAGATCTCACCTTTGACCCCTTCATTTGGAATTCATGCCGCCTCTGTTGTCCCCTGCCTCTTCCTGCTTATTGATTTTTCCTTGCAAAGGGACACGGGAGACTGAGAGATTTGCTGGCTCCAAATCCCTGAGCCGGAATGTCCAACTCTAGGGGGCAGCCCTGGTCCTATCCTAGTCTCTCTAGAGACCTGGCTTTCACCATACCAGGAGACAGACCTAGTGACCGGAGAGGTACAGAAAGTCACGTGGTCTCCAGCAGAGGGCTCTAGGGGAGGCGATGTTAGGGGCTCTTTTGGCTTCTGTCCTTTGGTAGGGCAGGAGTTAAGGGAGTTGCAACATCTTTCTGGGCTGAGTCACCTCTCACTGCTCTCCTCAGTTGAAGGTTTATAAAGAGGACCAGAGGCTGACAGAGAAGACCTGGAGGTAGTAGTCTCCTGCCTAGCCCCCGCTCCTCCAGGCTCCCAGAAGTCTCAGGTCAGAGGGCCCAGGCAGCCTCTGGAGCTCTTGTCTGCTGGCGCCATGGACTGGCAACAGTTGTGGCTGAGCTTTCTACTTGCCCTGACAGTCTCAGGCCGGGCTCTGGGGCCAACAGAGAAGGAGGCAGTCTTGGTGAGTCCTCTGGCCATGGGAATGACAGGGATTACCCAGCTATAATCTTCTCTAGGTATCCCTCTTGCCCTACAAGTTACCTGCCTCTCCCCATGTGCTCTGTATCCTGATCTATGTTACCCACCTCCTGCTCTTTTCCCTGTTCCATCTGAGGCCCCTCAGCATTCTTTTAGTCCTTCTATATCTGTCCCCTTCTCTCCTGATGGGTCTGTTAGGTCATTTGAATTGTTTGTTTAAGACAGGTCCCACTAAGGAGCCCTGCCGGGTCCGGAACTCATTATGTAGACCAGGCTGGCCTTGAACTCACAGACATCTGCTTGCTTCTGCTTCCCAAGTGCTGGCATTAAAGGCATGAGCCACCATGCTCAGCTTCTATTAGGTCACTTGGAAGCTTTACCCTGAGACTAACCCTCTTTCAACCTCTATCCCATTATAGGATTATCTGTTGCAGTATGGATATCTACAGAAACCTCTAGAAGGAGCTGATGACTTCAGTCTAGACGATATCACAGAGGCCCTAAGGTGAGGCTCTAAGGTCACGAAGTGTGTCAAGTTCTCCCCTCTCCCCAGGCCCGCCTCTACTGCACTCTAATCCACAGCAGGGGTCTGCAGGATGATAATGTTACTCAGGATGGTGGAATGTGAGGTGAGGTGGAGAAGCAGGATGAGGAGCCACAGGTCAGGTGTGGTGGCACACAGCTCTGATCTCAGTCCCGGAGTGGCAAAGCATTAAAAGTTGGGGACTAGTTAGGTGTGATGGGCCATGCCTTTAGCCCCAGAATCCCAGCACTCAGGAGACAGAGGCAGGCAGATCTCCGTGAGTCTGAGGCTAGCCTGGACTACATAGAGAGTTCTAGGCAAACTAGGGCTACACGATGAGACACTACCTTAAAAGGGGAGAAGGGAAGAAGATGGCATCCTGGAAGGTGGCTCAGCAGTTAGGAGCGCTTGCTGCTCTTCCAGAGGACCACCACCAACATCAGGAAGCTCACAGTCTCCTGTGACTCCAGCTCCAGGAGAGCTGATGCCCTCTCTGGCTTCCTTGGACACCTGAACATATGTAAACAACATTTACTCATATAGAAACATACAAAAGAATGAAAATCTTTTTTTTCTTCCCCCAGAGAGAGGGTCCCTCTGGGTAGCCCCAGCTGTCCTGGAATTGGCTCTGTAGATCAGGCTGGCCTCAAACTCATAGAGATCTTCCTGCTTCTGCCTCCCGAGTGCTGGGATTAAAGGTGTGTGCCATCACCACCCTGTTAAGAACAATACATGTATATTTTGTTTTGGTTTGATTTTTGTTTGTTTGTTTGTTTTTTGAGACAGGGTTTCTCTGTAGCTTTGGAGCCTGTTCTTAAACTTGCTCTGTAGACCACGCTGGCCTCCAACTCACAGAGATTCACCTGTGTCTGCCTCCCAAGTGCTGGGATTAAAGGCATGTGCCACCACTGCCTGGCCAAGAACAAACATTTTAGCAAAAGACTGGAGTCTAGCCTGGACCACATGATGAGTCTTTGTTTTTGATTTTTATTATTACTTTTTGAGCTGGGTCTCACACTGCAGTTTAGATTGACTTGGAACTCCTGGCAATCTTGCTGCCTCAGCCTCTGTTATGTTACAGTTACTGGTATGAGCTGAGAGCTAGGCACCTTGTCCTTACATTTTAAAATGATTTTTGATAATTTCACGTATATATGCATGCATGCATGTGTGTTCGTGTGTTCATATGTTCATGTGTGCATGTGTGTGTGTTGTGTGTGTGTGCGTTGGTCATTTTCACCCCATTACCCTCTCTCATTTCCCTTCCAATCCTCCTAAGTCTCTTCCTCCAACAAAGTTTCTTTGTAAACCATGGAGTTTAGTTAGGGTTGCTTGATTTAAAGTTTCTTTTTTTAAATTTAAAAAAAAAATTTTTATTTTTTCGAGACAGGGTTTCTCTGTGGTTTTGGAGCCTGTCCTGGAACTAGCTCTTGTAGACCAGGCTGGCCTCGAACTCACAGAGATCTGCCTGCTTCTGTGTCCCGAGTGCGGGATGTAATTTTTTATAGTTATTTTATTTATGCAAGTATGTATGTGCGCTGTGTGTGCATGCTTGGTGCCCACGCTGGTCAGGAGAGGGCGCCAGACACCCCCCCCCCCCCACTGGAGTTAAGGATGGTTGTGAACTACCATGTAGATGCTAGGAACTGAACCTGAATGCTCTGAACAAATTCTCTTAATTACTGAGCCATCTCTCCAGCTCCCAGTTTTGATTTTTTGAGACAGGGTATCACGTAGCCTAGGTCAGTCTTGAACCTCTGACGTAGTGAGGATGACCTTGACCTCCTAATCCCCCTGCTACAGCCTTGAAAGTGCTTGGATCACAGGATGAGCCATCAGTCACACCTAGCCAGTCCTTGCCTCAAAAAACAAAGCAAAAGAAGGCTGGAGAGATGGCTCAGGGGTTAAGGTCACTGGCTGCTCTCGTGTAGGACCCAGGTTTGGTTCCTAGCACCTACCCCGCAGCTCACAACCATCTACGACTCCAAGGGGATCCATGCTCTTTTCTGGCTTCTGTAGGCAGTACACACATGTGGTATACTTACATACATGCAGGAAAAACACTGATATTTAATTCATTATTTATTTCTATTCTGTTTTCCTGCTAATTTTTATAGTCTGCTAATTTTTGTTATGGTGTTCTTCTTCTTTACAGTCCTATGCCAGGTCATAGGTGGATGAGGTTGCCCCGGTGTGGGCTGGCTACCCACTGAAGTACTGGCTACCCTGGCCGGCTGAAGTGGGTAGGACCTCAGATAGCAGTACAGGGTGACTCCCAGAGGGTGGCCAGGGAGTGATCTGCTATATCAGAAAGTGAGGAAAGAGGGAGGAAGGCTGTACTTCAGGCCAGTCTTCCTCAAAAGATTCTGAAAATGCAGAGAAGTTGGGGTGCCCCATTTCTACAGACTAGAAGATAAAGCCCCAGTTATGAGCACTAGAGACTGGAGTGCCCTTTCAGCTTTAAAGACTTTGTGTTAGTCTTTTCTTTATCACTACTTTGGGAACCAGGAGGCCAAAGATCTATCCCCAATTTCCAGACATTCCAGATCCACTCACCTGTATGAATTTCTCTCTCTCTCTTCTTTTCTTCTCTTTTCTTTTTGTTTTTTGAGACAGGGCTTCTCTGTAGCTTTGCAGCCTATCCTGGAACTAGCTCTTGTAGACCAGGCTGGCCTCGAACTCACAGAGATCCGCCTGCCGAGTGCTGGGATTAAAGGCCTGTGCCACCACCGCCTGGGTCTCTCTCTCTTTCTAGAGCTTTCCAAGAAGCATCCAACCTGCCAGTTTCAGGCCGGATGGATGATGGCACAAGAGCCCGTATGAAGCAGCCCCGCTGCGGTCTGGAGGATCCCTTCAACCAGAAGACCCTTAAATACCTGCTTCTCGGTGAGGACTGAGCCTGGGAAGGGAAGGAGAAGGCACCCTGGCTCTGAGTGTGGGTGGCATCGGGACAGCCTGGAGTGTTCGATACTTACTAAGTAACCTGTTAAGGAGTGCAGCGAGTATCCTCACCCTGAGAGGCTCTCCTGGTTGTGTCTCTAACTTACTTTCTGGTCCCTTAACCAGGTCGCTGGAGAAAGAAGCACTTAACATTCCGCATCTTGAACCTGCCTTCCACACTCTCACCCTCCAGAGCCCGGGCAGCCCTGCATCAAGCCTTTATGTACTGGAGCAACGTGGCCCCCCTGACCTTCCGGGAGGTGAAGGCTGGTTCGGCGGATATCCGCCTCTCCTTCCATGGCCGCCAGAGCCCATACTGCTCCAACACCTTTGATGGGCCTGGTAGGCACTGGTTCTTAACTCTTAACAAACCTCAGCAGTGAACCATCTCCTTGAGCCAGTGACTCTGAGATCTTAAGGTTCAGGTTATCAGTTCTGCCCAATGATGCCCTGTACTCTGACCTCCCCAGAGAAGCCGGTCCTCACCAAGATGGGCCCTTACTAAGTCTCCTCTTTCAATCTTACGCCTGACTGCCTGACTTTCATTCCCCTCTGAATCCTCACCCTGAGAGGGGACTGGGTCACCGAGGTGGAAATTTTGTATTGGGTTTCCCTGAGTAACGACTGGAAAATCCGAAAGAAGCACCTAAGCTTGCTATGGCGCTGTGTCCTGCATTTTGTGTAGACCAGATTGACATAAACCCCACTACGTAGCTGAGGCTGATCTTCAACTTCTGATCCTCCCGTGTCCACCTTCCAAGTGCTGTGATTACAGATGCATTGTCACACTTGAGAGTAGCTGAGTATATAGCCGGCAAACAGTGCTCTGTTGTCGTGGGCGCTCACATTACTGTCTGCCTTTGCCGTTCTCCAGGAAAGGTCCTGGCCCATGCCGACATCCCAGAACTTGGCAGTGTACACTTCGACAAAGATGAATTCTGGACTGAGGGGACCTACCAAGGAGTGAACCTGCGCATCATCGCAGCCCATGAAGTGGGTCATGCCTTGGGCCTTGGGCACTCCCGATACACCCAGGCACTCATGGCTCCCGTCTATGCTGGCTACCAGCCCTACTTCAGGCTGCACCCAGATGATGTGGCAGGGATCCAGGCTCTCTATGGTGAGCATGAGAGTCAGTCTGACTAATGGCTCTCTAGGCTCAGGGAGACAATACTCGCTTTCACGGAGTGAAATGGCTTTATTTCCCTTCTCTTCCTCTGTCCAGTTCTTCAAGCTATCTGTCCTCAAATACTGTCTCTATTTTTGACTCTTTTGTCTGTTTTTCCTTCCTGGCCTTTCTCCCCGTCACATCCTAATTTGTTGTTGTTGTTTGTTGTTTTGAGACAGGGTCTTGATTTTGTAGCTCTGGCTGTCCTGGGACTTGCTGTGTAGTCCAGGCTGGACTCAGACTCATGGAGACCCGCCTGCCTCTAGTGCTGGGTTTAAAGGTGTGCGCCACCACCGCCTGGCAACCCTATTCTTGAAGATGTATATTCCAGGGAACTTCCTTCTCTGGGGCTTCTCAAAACTAAGCTGTCTCCTGTATATTGCTGACCACTGAGGGAAACACCTTAGAATTCCCCTTTCCCTCTCTCTTGGGGTCATTGCGCAGAGCTTACAGTAGACTTGGGTGTTTGTTTGGACTTCTTTCCCTATGGTGCCTTACTTCACTTTGCAGGCAAGAAGAGTCCAGAGACAGAGGATGAGAAGGAAGAGATCGAGATTTCCACTGTGTCACCAGTGACCACAAAACCCAGTCCCATGCCAACCCCCTGCAGCACTGAACTGGATGCCACGATGCTGGGTGAGACCCTTCCCAAACAGACTGTTGACAGGCAATGGGGGCAGTCGACTGACTCCAAGGCCTGGTCAGATGGGGATGACATGGGACCAAAGCAGGAACATTGGGGGTTGGACCCCAGGGAACGGTTGGTGACCAGGGAAGATGTCTAGCATGGAGAGGGAGCACTGGGAGTCAAAAGAGGGCTGGGTAGCTGCAGTGGTGGTCTGTGCCTTTAATCCCAGTACTCAGGAGGCAGGCAGGTGGATCTCGGAGTTTGAGGCCAGCCTGGTCTACAGAGCCAATCCCAGGATAGCCAGGACTACACAGAGAAACCTGTTTTGAACCCCCAAACAACACAAAAAATAAAAACAAACAAAAACATCCCCCTCCCCAAAGAGGGCTGGATAAGCATTTACTATGGTTGCCGCCTTATAAAAATACATGTGGAGGTGGGCGGCGGTGGTGCATACCTTTAATCCCAGCACTCAGGAGGTAGAGGCAGGTGGATCTCTGGGAGTTTGAGGCCAGCCTGGTCTACAGAGGGAGTTCCAGGACAGCCAGGACTGTTACACAGAGAAACCCTGTCTCAAAAGACAAAACAAAACCCAAAACCATGTGGAAACATAGCAAAATGGAATCAGCTGCAATGCCTGTCAGAGAGGGCTTTGCACCTAGTGGTAAGATTTTCAAGCAACCTGGAATGGGGTACTAGGTACTAAGAAGAACTGGCTGACTGGAGGGCTGTGGCCAACAAAGGAGAGGCTCAGCACCGCGTCTTCCTTCTCTGCCCTTTTCAAGTTGAGAGAATTTTTGATGAGCCCATCGGGGGCCAGTAAGGAAAGCATTGAGATGCTCCTGAGTCATTCATTGTCTTTTAAAATGTCAACATGTTTCTGCTCTTAGGACCTCGCGGGAAGACCTATGCTTTCAAGGGGGACTACGTGTGGACTGTAACAGATTCAGGGCCAGGCCCCTTGTTCCGCGTGTCTGCTCTTTGGGAGGGGCTCCCTGGAAACTTAGATGCTGCTGTCTACTCTCCTAGAACAGGATGGATTCATTTCTTCAAGGGTAAGTGGGGCACTTGGTCTTTACCTGAGGGCCTGGGCATTACAAAGCTACAAATGGAGGAGGTGTGGAGACGCTTTTGAGAGGGCAGGAGAGGGACCAAAAGCTCCCACCTGATGACACAGCTTGTTCTTCCTTTGACCGTTCTCAGGAAACAAGGTGTGGCGATATGTGGGTTTCAAGATGTCTCCTGGCTTTCCCATGAAATTCAACAGGGTAGAACCCAACCTGGATGCAGCACTCTATTGGCCTGTTAATCAGAAGGTGTTCCTTTTTAAGGTAAAGTCAGGGTAATCTCTTCTGAGGAGGGTCAGGCTACCTCATACTGAGGGGTGAAGTCTTACCCTTAAAGGGGCACCTTCTGAAGTTTGGATCAGCCTCTGGGGTCCCTAAGCTCTCTCATTCTCTTCCTCCCACACACTCCAAATTAGGGGTCAGGATACTGGCAATGGGACGAGCTGACCAGAACAGACTTCAGCCGCTACCCCAAACCAATCAAGGAATTGTTTACTGGAGTGCCAGACCATCCCTCGGCAGCGATGAGCTGGCAAGATGGCCAAGTGTACTTCTTCAAGGGCAAACAGTATTGGCGGCTTAACCAGCAGCTTCGTGTGGCGAAGGGTTATCCCAGAAACATCACACACTGGATGCACTGCAATCCTCAGACTCCGGACACAAGCTCGTTAACTGGGGATATTCCTCCCTCAACCACAGACACAATCTTGGATACCAGTCCTTCAACCACGGACTCAATCTTGGACATGATTCCCTCAGCTTCGGACTCTGTCACGCTTTCATCCCCCGCTAACGTCACCCTGCAAGGGGCCTAGGACTAATCAGTGTCTGCTCATTAGGACGGTGTGGATGTTACAGCATTGGCCTGGGCTATAGGCCTCATGGTCCAAATGTTCTAATTCTGGATACCACTTTCTTGTGCTCCTAGAAGGTGCCCCTGAATTCCGAGTCAGTCCCCAGTTCCCATTTCTCCTTGTCACATAGCTCTTTCAAGTGTGTCATCTATTCTTTAGTGGAAGGACATTGTCAATCAGGTATTTTTTTTTTCTTTCACTGTTTTTGGACAAGGTCTCTCTCTATCTAACACTGGCTATGGCCACTCTGTGTAGACCAGACTGGCCTTGAACTCACAGAGTCACCTGCCTCTGCCTCCTGAGTGCTGTGATTAAAGGCGTGTGCCACCATGCCTGGCCAGTGTTTTTTTTTTTTTTGTCTTCTTTTAAAATTTGTTTTGTTTTGTGTGCACTGGTGTTTTACCTACATGTATTTCTGTGTGAAGGTGTCAGATCCTCTGGAACTGGGGTTACAGACAGTTGTGAACTGCCATGTGGGTGCTGGGAAGTGAACCCCAGTCCTCTGGAAGAGCAGTCAGTGCTCTTAACCACTGAGCCATCTCTCCAGATTTAAGGCACGTGCTGCCATACCTGGCTTAGTTGGGTCTTTAGCTGACAGGAGGCAACAGCTGATCTACTGGACACCTGGCTTCCATTCTGCCAAAGTCAAGTGCAAGAAACGGCACAGTCAGTAAACTGAGCAAGGGCTCTGGGGTCCTTGAGCCACCTGTGACTTTCTGCAAGTTAATTAACCTTGGGAGGCTGGGCGGTGGCGGCGCATGTCTTTATTTTGTTATTTATTTATTTTTTAAATTTGACCAGGCACATGCCTTTAATCTTAGCACTTGGGAGGCAGAGGCAGGCAGATCTCTGAGTTCGAGGCCAGCCTGGTCTACAAGAGCTAGTTCCAAGACAGGAACTACCTTGCAGAAAAACCTTGTCTCGAAAGAAACAAACAAAAAAAACCTTGGATTCTCTATTAACAAAATAAGGTCAATCTCAATGTTATAGGGTTGTTATGTTAGATGAAATGTTACATGTGAAATGTTATATGTCAGACTGATGAAGTCTGACACATTTGTATTTAATAAAGGCTAACTTTGTGTTCCTGAGAGCTGAGCTGTCTGGGTACATATGTGTATCATGTGTATATGTACATCATATACATAGTGTAACAGATGATAAAGGTGCCACAGCAGATCTTTAGGGACAGCCTGATCACCTTTGCTTTGCCGTGTAAAGAAAGTAAAAAGCTACGGGAGAGGTCCAGCTCCCCAGTTGAATTTTCAAAGCCATTTTATTCCCATGTTCCCTTGTTCTTCCCCCCTCTCATTACAGATTTGCTGCTGGGGGAGGGATGTGTCTTCCTTCATACTGTCTGGAAAACCAGGAAAGACCTTGCTCAGGCGAGTCAGAGGAGGGAGCGTTAGGATGGGTTAGTGGAGGCAGAAGGCACTTGACTACTGTGCAGCCCTGAAGCCCAGATTTCTCTGAGCAAAAAGGCAAGAATTAGGCATGCGAGCCAATGCTCTCTTCTTAGAGAAGGAGCCAGCTCTTGGAGAGGAGAGCTGAGGCAGATTCTGTGGTCTCCCCTCATTGAAGAGAGAGGAGAAAGCACCGTGGAGAATTGCATTCCCCTGAGGTAGAGGGGACTCAAGACTATGGGGTCCACTGAGAAAGGCCAACCGGAAGTTCAGGTACCCCTAAGGAACCCGGGAGCTGGGGGATCTTAGAGTACTTCTGTGCCATTTTCCCTACTAAAAAAAATGTGACATGCCTCAGGGGCTCCTCAGTTTTCTACCGGTCCTACAACAGAGCCCTGTATTTTACCACAGTAAGGCACACCAGGACGTTTAAATGAATATTTGGGAATGGTTGCAGTTCAGTGGTAGAACGCTCGTCTACTCTGAACAACACTCTAGGTTCTGTCTCAGCACTATAGGAATTTTTTTTTTTTTTTTTTTTACAAAAAGCTGTTTTGGGTAAATCTCCTTGGTTTGGAGCCAGTGTCTCTAGGGACCAGGGCACCGTGACCACTGACAGAGGTAGGTGCTGTATTGCTCTCCCCCATCTTTACAAGAATTCTCTCTGCCCACTTTTAAAAGGGTTAGTCTAGGGATAGAGACTATCTCCAAGTCCAAGAGGTAGGGAACTCTGTGTGGGTCCCGTAGGCTCAGGCCCTATCCACGTAGCAATCTCCTGCCCTCACTCGGGCAGCGGCATCACCAGAGGCTTGGGCTCAAGTCTGGGCGGAATGAGAAGATGGACAGAGGACAGTGGGACTGCAGCCAGAACCCAGGTCCAGGACAGTGCGGGGACCCGTGGCCTCACAGAGACTCTGGAGATAACGCTGAGTGGACCAGGCCAGAGAGGTAGAAGGGGGTTCTGGGTCAGAGCCTAAGCTCACGCTGGCCATCACTGTATGCCCTCTGACCCATCTTCCCCAGGATACCTCACCCTCCCGCTCACTGGAGCCAGACTGTCACCAGGGCTCCGGATATTGGGGGAAAGTTGACTTCGATAGCTGCCTTCATACAGTCCCACTCCAGAAGGGTTCCGATGCCACTTAGCCTCTTGCTGATGGATCCGAAGGAGCTGGAGATGCCTTCTCTGGTGGCTCAAGACCACTGCTGGGGAGGAGGCAATACAGATTCAAGGGGGCTTTTTTTTTTTACCAAATCCAAACAGAATTACACTCCATAGAGATCAACTTGGCCTTCCCTTTAGTCACTAAATTTCCTCTACACGTTCCTCCTCCCCTCTCTGGGTTCCTCTACCCTCTCAGAAGAGTCCTAAGTTACTCTTCCTACATCTCTTGGCGAACTTTCTTCTTATTCTACCCAGACTTCCTTTGGCTGTTTCAACTCTAGTTTTCCTTCAGTGCCTGCCCTGTTTGACATGGGAATCCTCCCCCATCCTCATCTCTCCATCTTTTCCCTTCCCCTCACGTGTCGGAACCAGGGATAGCAGTAGGGGTAGGTTGGCTGCTTTTGTACCACAGCACTAACTCACCATTGGTGTGGCTTCCGCGTTCCTCAGCCATGAGTTTCCACTGGGCCAGTGTCCCAAGAGCCCCCAAGATTGGCCAGGTCCCCAGTAAGACCCAGCTATACCAGCAAAGAGGAAGCAATTCTGGAAGCGCCTGCAGGCGTTCGCTTAGCCGAGTGCCCAGTGCCAGCCCTTCCAAGAAGTAGTCAGCACAGGCCACCAGCACGGCAGCGCCTAGGAGGGCAGTGCCTAGCACCGTGAACGGGCGTGGCCACCGGAGTGTGAGCAGGGCTCCCAGCAGTGCCAGCCCCATTAGTCCACCGATCGGCACCCAGGCTGAACGTGGCTGGTAGATGGGCTCTGTGCCCAACAAGGTTCCAGCACCTAGGGTCAGACCTAGCAGTAGACCAGTCAGAAAGAGCCCGACGCTGCGAACCAGCATGGTGACCAGGCCGCAGAGGAGTCCGATGCCCAGCGCGATGCCTGCGCTCACCTCCAGGCTCAACTGTGTCTCCAACACTCGCTCCTTGTGGCACAGGAGGAAGATCACCAGAGCTCCTGACAGCAGACCCGAGAGAAACATCACTGCCTTGAAGCAGCGGTAGCCTGGGAAGGGAGGCAGGAGGTGTTGAGAGGCAGAAAGGGATGGGTCTGCTGTGTTGGGAAAGGAACAGCTAACCAAAGGTGTAGAAGCCAGAAACAGCATACCATGGGATCTCCAGGCAAGGGAAAGAGAAGGACAAGCCCAGCATTGAATAAGGACACTTAGAAGCGGAGGGGCTAGGTGGAGAAAGCAGGAGGTGGAATGACACTGTGCAGAGAAAAAAGGACAATGTCAAGTCACCACAGACTGACTCAGACTCTGAGGAAAGTTGAAGTCTCTGGTGGGGAGTACAACTAGGAATGGGATTTTGCGGTAGGAGACAAAAGAAAGGCAGATAACAGAGGCTGGCAGAGGCAGTATGGAAAACTCTGACAGAGGAGGTGGAGTGGCCGGAACAGGGAAGAAAGTTGGCATCATTCTGGAGGACAACAGTCTTGGGCGCTGCCCCCCAGGCCCTGCCCTCACCGAAGCAGCAGTAGATGATCCCAAAGCAGCAGCAAAGCGCACACACAAGAGCAGGCGCCAGTTCAAGGCCGCCCTGGGGTTCCAAGGCACATCTCAGGTCCGGAGGCTCGGGGAGCTGTTGATTGAAGGGTCTTGGGTCAGATGTTATGGTCAGCGGCAACAAGGCTTTCTCCATGGTACAAGGAAGAAGGTCCCAGAGCGGAAGGTCAGCTTCTCTCATCCATCCATAACTATCGGGCAGAAGGTGGTTAACCTGGAAGAGAACAGAAACCATGACTTGAGGATTCCGTACCTCCATTTCTTTGGAAACGTGACCTGTCCAACTAAAAAGCAACTCCCCTCATCTGCACTTAGGATGCAATACCAACCCCCTGCTGCATTGAACAGGGCAGGGCTAATAAAACAGGGAGAGGAAGGAAGAGGGAGAATGAGTCATCTTAGGGTCCCTGGAATACTACTGCTCACCACCCTCCAGGGCTGAGGAGAGCTGCTTAGACCCCAGCTTCATCCCAGCCCAGAGGTCGTAGACATGGGGTGTCCACTGGCTGCAGGCACCCCCATCCCAGCCATTGTGCTTATTGCTCCCTAAACTGTAAGTTGGAGCCCAAACCCTGTGATCTAAATGCAACCCTCAAGAAAGCAAGGGAATAGAGAGTTAAGAGTTTCAGATAAGGAATTAAGAGTCACCCAGTTACCATGTCAAGATTTTGAAGTCTTGGCTTTAGGCCGAGATTGGGTTGGGGGAAAGCCGAATACAGCCAGTCCAAATCCCATGGCCCTACATGGAATAAGCAGGCGCCTAGCTCACCGACATCGCCCAACCTGGTATCCACTTGCTACTCGCCTCAGACACGCATGGGAATTGTTCCACCCACCCTCTCATCCTGGCATGCCCGGGTTGCCAATGGGATTTGAATTCTGATCCTGAGGAAAGGCTGGCATTGGCAAGCTCCCTGTGGGAGCTGGGTGATGCCGATAAACTTTTCCTTTTGCTGTCTTTTGGATATTTAAGTCCCAGGCTAAGGGCTGGACTGGAGAACTCGTGGGGTTCTTCTCAATCGCTTAAGAGTCTGGGACCCTAAACAAGGAGAGGTTAGGGAGGGGGTTCACTACTCACCACCCTCCAAGGTTGAGGAGAGCAAAGGGTGGAACTGCTTACACCTCCAGCTTCATCCCAGCCCCAGGTCCTAGGCGTAGGGGTGGCTGTTGGCCAGGTCCCCTGTGCTCGGTGCTCCCTAACCGCCTGCAGGTCCGAGTCAAATCCTGTGAGCTAAATGCAAGTAGCTTGGGGGTAGGGGTGTGTGTGGAGGAAGGAGACAGGGTGTGTGTTGGGGGGGGTGACATCACGGGGCGGGCACCCTCAATCCTCCCCTGTGTGTGGGGGAACTCAGGCTACCTACCTTCCTAATCCAGGACCAGGGACGCCCCCCTAACCAAGCAACGGAGAGTTTTAGGACTCCCAACAAGACTAAGATAGAAGGTGTCTGAATGCTGAGGAGATTAATCGACAATTTGACGTTTTCAAAGTCCCAATGGGGTCCCATTCCACCCCCAAGTCCAGCTTGGTTTCTCCCACTTCCCAGAGAATTGGAGTATTGTCTTCTGGAGAACCGGGTGGTCGGATCCGGGATGCGGGGAAGGTTTTTTTTTTTTACCAGTGCTGGTGGGGGGGTGTTCATGGGTGAAAAAAACTTGCGGAGCAAGACGGGCCTGGCAGGGACAATGACAGAACTGTAAGGCTTCAGGAGTGTGTGCAGAGGATCCACAAGGGTCTGCGTAGGGGTGGGGGCGCGTGCGGGCGTCGACCCAAAGCTTACTATGTAAATGAGATGCAAAGCAGCATGCAGATGAGCGCGGGGTTCTGAGCCCCGCGGAGCCTCGCTCCGGAGCCCTGGCCCGGCCCGTGCGCCGCGTCCCCAGGGGGTGGATCAGCGGCATGGGAGCTCGCCGGCTGGGTCCGGGAGAGGAGTGTCCCGGATAGTCAAGGGGCGAGCCAGTCCGGAACGCACACTTCGCTTCCTCTCTGGCCGGGTCTGGGCGCGCAGAGGGCGCTGACTTCCCTGCGTACTCTGGCTGTCTGCAAGCCACAGACTATGTGTGCACCGGCGGCTGCCCTTCATCTTCCAGTTTCAGCAGGGACAAGGAACACAGCCGCAGGCCTCAGCGGACCTCCGCCGCTCACTCGCCGCCGCGCGACCCGTGTGGCCCGCAAGGCGGCCCAGGGCACTTTAAGAGGCGGGGCCAGGACGCTCTAGCGCCGCCCCCTCGATTGACTCCGCGCCGGCTCGCGCCTCCGCCAACCGCTCTTCTCTTTCCCGTCTTTTCCCCCGGTGACCCCGGAAGTGGAAGTCGGCGGCCGCTGCGGGGACGGAAGGCGGAAGCGGAGCGGGAGGCGGAGCCGGGGGAGCTGCTCTCGTAGCTCCCCCTGGCCTCAGGCGCAGCTGCTCGAGGGGGAGGAGTTACCGCCGCGGTTCGGTACGTCGCCTTTGCCCCTGGACCCTGTCGGTGGGTTCTCAGGTGGTCTTTTGCTGGGGCACCTCTTAAGCTCCGCCCTGAGCTTTTCCTCCTAATCTGTACTGTCCCCACCCTTTTCTGACAGATTGCGGCCTCTCTCTTTAAGGCAGTCTTTTTTCTAAGAGTAATCCCTACCCCCCGACCACACCCTTTGCGGTAAATCCCCCCCCCCCCCAGTTCCCAGATTGAAGAGTTTAGCTTCTTGAGGGGAAAGAAGAAAAATTAAAATTTCGGGGGTAAGGGGGTTCCTGAGGTCGAGGTTTGGTGCAAGCAGGTTTGTGTTCATCCTAATTCAGGTTTATTGTTAGGGTTAGTAATGCCCCCAAAGAATTTGAATTTACGCGGTAGGGGGAGTGGGTACATTGTTTAACTTTGTCTCTTGGTTCTCTTCTTGACCATTCCCAACTTGATAACTTTGTTGCAGGCAATAGAACTTTTCATGATGGCTGTGACCTAAAATCCTCAGGAAGCCACGGGGTCATGGCCCAGAAGCACCCCGGAGAAGGAGGGTTGTGTGGAGCCCATCACAGCGGTGGTACCTCCTTCAGGACATCAGGACCCTCTGTGGATCCTGAAATACTTTCGTTCTCAAGACTCAGGAACTCAACAGAGACTGCGCCGAATGGTACACGCTGCTTCACAGAGCACTCTGGTCCTAAGTACACACAGCCCCCAAACCCAGCCCACTGGTCGGATCCAAGCCATGGTCCTCCGAGGGGTCCAGGACCACCTGGGGAAGGAGGGTACCCCGATGACAGTGAGGCGTCTTCGGAAGAGTCAGGAGTGGACCAGGAGCTCTCAAGAGAGAACGAGACTGGGTACCAGGAAGATGGGAGCCCTTCCTTTCTTTCCATTCCACCTGCTTGTAACTGCCAGGGAAGCCCTGGAGTCCCTGAAGGGACTTTCTCTGAGGAAGGCGATGGCTCTTCTAGCAGCTTCTGCCACCACTGCACCTCTCCAGCCTTGGAGGAAGATGAAGAGTTAGAAGAGGATGACGAGGAGGAACCTCTTAAATTTCCCAGTGACTTTCCACGTGTGTCCAGTGGAAAGAAACCCCCGTCCCGGAAGCAGAGACACCGTCTTTTGACCAAGGAGGATACTCGGGATAGTGGACGCAGAGATCCCAGGTCCCCTGGTCGTCATCGGCTGGGCCGAAAACGAAATCAGGCAGATAAGCGCAGAGGCCTGGGGCTCTGGGGAGTGGAGGAACTATGTCAGCTTGGACAAGCCGGCTTCTGGTGGCTGATTGAACTTCTGGTGTTGGTGGGAGAGTACGTGGAAACTTGTGGCCATCTCATTTATGCGTGCAGACAGCTGAAAGGCAGTGACCTGGACCTTTTTCGAGTTTGGGTGGGAGCCTGGGCAGGGAGATTGGGGGACTGGGCCCAGGTGATGGTCCAGTTTCTAAGCCAGAGCTTTTACTGTGCAGCAGGGCTAGTCACCCGTTTTCTTAGGCTCGTGGGTGCTTTCCTACTCCTGGCTCTTGCCCTCTTTTTGGGTTGTCTACAGTTGGGCTGGCGATTTTTGGTGGGACTGGGTGACCGGTTAGGCTGGAGGGATAAGACCTCACGACTGTTCTCTTGGCTGGATTCTCCAGCCTTGCGTCGTTGCTTAACTCTGCTGCGAGATAGCAGACCGTGGCAGCGGCTGGTAAGATTAGTTCAGTGGAACTGGCTGGAGTTGCCTTGGGTCAGGCAGAGGACTAACAAGCAAGGTAATGCGCCTGCCGCTAGTGGGCGCTGCTGCCAGCCAGAAGAGGAAGTAGCCAGACTTTTGACCATGGCTGGGGTTCCTGAGGATGAACTAAACCCTTTTCATGTGCTGGGGGTTGAAGCTACAGCGTCAGACATTGAACTAAAGAAGGCCTATAGGCAGCTAGCAGTGATGGTGAGTATCCTTTGCTTCTTGTTCCTCTTATGTATTTTCTGTTCCAGTTTTACTGAAGCTGAAGGATTGCATTCCTTTGTTTTGTTGTGAGGCCGAGTTTCACTATGTAGACAGGCTCACCTAGACTCAAGATTCTCCTGCCTCCATTCTGAGTGCTGTGGTTTACAGGCGCTTGCCTCTACTCCTAGCTAAGCGAAGGGAGACATTCTTAGGAAGGAGTCATAGACGTCTCTGACTAGGGAGCTTACTTTCTCCCCATTTAAAGTCTCTTGTCTTGAGGTTTTTTTTTGGGGGGGGGCGGGGTCATATGACAGACAGGGTTGAACTCACTCACTTCATAATAGCTAAATGAAATCCTTGAGGCCCAGACAGGCAGTATCTCAGTTGCTCTCACTGAACAAAGGAATTTTTGTTTTGTTGAAGTACTGGGATTATAAATGTGCATCACCATGAATGGTAAAGGAGGAAAAAGAGGAATTTAAAGATTTTTTTTTTTTTTTTGAGACAGGATTTCTTATGTAGCCTTGGCTGTCCTGGAACTAGCTCTGTAGATCTCAAACTCAGGCTGACTTCAAACACACAGAGATCCACCTGCTTCTGCCTCCTTAGGATTAAAGGCCTGTGCTACCAACACCTGGCAAGAACTTATCTTTTTAGATGTATTTTATGTGTATGAGTGTTTGCCTCCATGTATGCACATATACCACGTGCAAACTGGTACCCGAGGAGATGAAGGGTGTGGATCCCCTGGAGCTGGAGTTGGTGATGGTTGTGAGCTACCATGTCAGAACTGGGACTGAACCTGGGTCCTCTACAAGAATACCAAGTATTTTATCCACTGAGCCGACTTTCCAGCCCCAGCAGATTTTAAACATGGAGAAAGCAGCCTCTCCCAGAGAGGCAAGTGTGGACCTCGAGTGAGAGTGTTCAGGCTGTGCAGCCAGTGGTTATTCCAGGACCAGGAAAATGAAAACCGCTTCTTTTCGCTTGTGAGATCGAGGGTGGAGTCCAGGACCTGTGCATGCTGGGCAAGTGCTGTCCCTCTGATGTCCATGGAATTTTAAGACCCGGTGTAGCACGATTAGTAAAAATCCAGAGACAGAAATTGGGGTTCAGCCTGAAGGTCAGAAAAACAAAACAGCCAGCCACTGACTCTTAGCTCTACCTCAGTCCGAAATGGCGATCGCGATCGATCCGGCCTCCAGGAATCTCAGAATGAGACTGTGTCTGAAAGCTATTATTTCCCATTATATACTCCTCTCTAGTTCTGGGATTAAAGGTGTGCACCACTACCACTGATTGCTATGGCATACTAAGGTGGCTACTGGGATTAAAGGTGTGTGTCACCACTGCCTGGTGTGTAAGGCTGATCAGAGCGGTCGTTTTAGTCTCTGAACTCCAGGCAAGCTTTATTTATTAAAATACAAATGAAATATCACTACAACCCAGAATATGAAAGGGAAGAAAAAAAGGAGCATAAATCATAAGAGAGACGTGTATGTCACATATGTGCATGAAGATATGTTGCTTTTGTTAACTAGGTAGGTGGGAGTTTTGATGTACTGTATACTTGAGAGAATGAGGTTTTTTTTTTTTTTTTTTTTGCAGTGCTGGGGGTCAAACCCAGAATCTTGCTCATTCTAGCATGCACTCTGCACCTGATCTGAAGCCCCGCCCTATGATTGCTATTTCCTTTTTAAACATTATTTATTTATTTATTTATTTATTTATTTATTATGTATACAACATTCTGCCTCTGTGTATGCCCGCACGCCAGAGGAGGGTGCCAGATCTCAGTACAGATGGTTGTGAGCCACCATGTGGTTGCTGGGAATTGAACTCAGGACCTCTGGAAGAGCAGCCAGTGCTCTTAACCTCTGAGCCATCTCTCCAGCCCCTGCGATTGCTATTTCTGTACAACTAAAACTATATTATGAATATAAGTAATGTGTGTAAAACTGCACCTGAGGCTGACTTGACTTGACTGAATGGTCATCCTATATATACGCAGTTCTACCCAAAAAAAAAAAATCTCTCTTGTTCTGGGCTAGAATTTCTGTTGGCTTGTCGTATATAGCCTAGACCCCCATATGAATACCTTTAAAAGGCTGTTTTATCAGCTTGAGACTATGAAGTTTAAAAGCATTCTTTTTTTTTTTTTTTAAGCAGTGATGAGACTCATCTCTGTACTTTTGGGTAATGCAGATGGCTGTAGGAAGATAAAGGCTTCTTGTGGAGAAAGGCTGAAATGTAAAAAACTTCTGAGATCTTAATTTCTGGGGCAGAAAGGCAGAGCAGTAGAAAGTTTTGGATATTAGGGTCTCCTAGTTAATTTTCTATTGCTGTGATGAGACACCATGATCAAAGCAACTTATAAAAGAAAGCATTTGACAGGAGCTTGCTTACAGTTTCAGAGAGTGAGTTCATGACCGTCATGGCAGGGAGAAGGGCAGCAGATGGGTAGGTGTGCTTGAGCAGTAGCTAAGAGCTTACTGAGAGGGGAGACTGGGTTTAAACTCAGGCTCCAGCTGCTTGGAGTTTAGCACTGTGCTGTCACTT